TATTAGGTTTTTAATTCATTTAAATGTTAAATAAAGTACTATATTGAATATGTGTATAAATATACATTTATGTTTACATATTATTTAAAATATAATGCTAATTAGTAAAGCTAATGTAATGTAATTTTTAATATAAGTTTACAGTAAATATTAAATAAATTCATTTCTTTTGGTATGATATTAAAAAAATAATAAGCATAAAAAATAAGTGTTATATTAACTTTAACTACAGTTGTACAATTTTCAATTTTGCAGTTTTCTGTATGAATAGAAAACTGCAAAATTGAAAATGATATGATGTTATGATGGCAGAAAAGTGAATTTAATTGAAATAAATTAGCAAAATAATAAGCAAAATTATTAGTGTCACTAATTGTGAAAAATTAAATGCAATTAAAATAGCTTTCATTTTCATTTTTAATATCGTTGAACTTTATAGTAAATACAATTAGATTCATAATTTATTTATCAAAAATGTACAGTCTGCAAATAAGTCAATCTTTTAATCTGATGATTAATCATTTTTTATTTATTTTTTTATTTTTTGTTGCAAAGGGGTATTATATTTTTTAGGAAATACATTGATTTTCTTGATATAATCTAATAACAATATATTTAAAGATTGAATAATAGAAGATTGTAAAATAATGCAACTATTACATTATTACAGCTTAAATTTTTCATAAGACCCTTAAATATATCTTTAATCTAAGTATGGGTTTACTTCAAACAAGACTTACATAACATAGACAGTTATTATAAAAGTTAAATGATTACAATTGTTATTACATATCAATTTATATATTTGTTTAGAAATACATTACAATTTAAGGAATGAATCAGAAATATTTAGAAAAAGATATTGAGATAAAATTGTAAGGAATAAGAACAAACTTGGAAAGCAGATCTAAAATAGAAGCAAGTGATGATGGCATTTTCATAAATTATGATAGTGGAATTATTTTGTTTAATGAGCTAAGATTATTAAAAGGAATAAATAATTTTCATTTCATAAGTTATTTACATATTATCAAACTTAAGAGTATTTCTTTTTTTATGACTAATATAATATTGATTTGGCTGCTCTATGATAATTTTTAATATTGATTAAAAACTGTAATAAAATAACTAAATCGTTTGAAAGCAGATTGTAATAAATGAAAAGTTTTGGATACTTCATTTGTTGGTTAATTTTTAGTTTTAATTAATAACTTAACTCAGCAAGCTATCATTATGTGTGTTTTTACTGTCATAATGGCAAAATTTAAAGATTACAAGTATGATTATACTTTTACTTTATTACTATGGGTGACACACAGTTTGAAAGAAAGAAAGTCTATACATGTACCGGTACATTTTTCCCAGTTTGGATTGAAGATGACTTAATATCTGAATCTGATCTTGTCCAAGTACTTGATATTTACAAATATAACATTATTACAGCTACTAAATGAATTTTAAATTTTGATTTAAATTGAAACTGGCAATATGTCTAGAATATTAATGTTACCATATACTGATGAGCATTAATGAACAAAGAAAAAGAAAGTTGATAAACTGGAAAGAAAGATTATAATTTAAAATCATTTAATTAGCAGAGAAAATTGATTTTTTAGCTATTGAACAAAATAATGATACCAGATATTTTTTCATATTTTATAAGTTAGTTTATGATATTATAAACAATAAATCTTGAGCATTAATGTAAGATAATAGATATTTGTATAAATTTTATCAGAAAATGGAAGACAAAAGAACTATTGATATCATTTCTTATATATTCAACATGAAACACAATTGACATTTTAAAAGTATCTCATAAGTTTAAGGCCCTGGTTTGCATCAGTACTTTTGTTTGTTCAAAGCTAACAATCAAAATTTGTAATTACATCTGCAAGGATGTCAACCTTAATTTTAAATTTGATCCATTTATTAGCAAATAAAAATGTTATATGTTCAATCATGAGATCCAGGAAATAATTCTTTTGGAATACCAAAAACTTTTTTAGAAACATTCACAATATTTCTGCTTTTGTTCAAAATACTGAAATAGTAGTTTTTAGATAAAGGCATTATGGACCAGAATTTTTTTGAAATAATAATGTCAATGTTCCTTTAGATCTGTATCTTACTTATTGGATAACCTCATATTTTAAAATTTGCTCTAAACAAATAACAAAAAACATCTAATAAACCATATTTAATTTAATTAATTACATTTAATATATATACAGGCAACCCCCATATAACACGGTAGTTACGTTCCAAAAAATTGCCGTGTTATGCGAAACAAAGAACTAGTACGAAAAGGAGGGTTAGGTTCCAAAAATTAAAAAAAACATGCTACTATATTTTTATAATTAAGATAAATATCTTTATTAAAATTTTCTTAAGTGATACATATTAATATAAACAATGTTTTCTTTGTCATCACTAAAAGCACTATTAACCGAGAGCNTAAATTTTTTGGGTGTCTATATAATATTTCCAGGCTTGTGGTACCGGAATGCAATCTATGTTAATACAATTTCTGTCCTTGTCAGCTCTATAGACAATTAACATTTTAATGTCAATTTTTATACAGTAGAGCATCATTTATCCGAAATGTCGGTTAACCGAAAGCATTCCAGTCAGCAAATTTAAATTTTCGCTAGTGTTGTGGTGCTGCAATCTTTGTCTATATCTTGGGCTACTCCAATATTTTTTTTTGTTGGTGTGTGTGTTTTAGCTGGCAGCACTGGCACTTTTGTGTGGTATTTTTATGAGGACTGTGTCATGCTGAATCGAATGTTTTTGATACTAGATCAACTTTTAAAGTATAATTTNGATGGGACACAAAAAATAAACAATTGCACGAAATCAAACAAAATTTTTTAAATATAAGCCATAAAATGCTAGCTGTCAAAATATATAATGATAATATGGTTTAGAACGAAAATGGCGGGAAAAATACCACTAATCCGTGTAGTGGTAAAAAAAAATGAACTTATTTTCCGAACAACCCAATATTTCAAATATAATTTCAAAAATTTAGACTTAAGATAATTTTTTTAATGTATATACAGTGGTATCTCGATATACGTCTGCTTTAGAATATGTCAAATTTGGAATACGTCCTGTTTGGACGAAAAAAATTTTGCTTGGTATACGACTTAATTCAATTATACACGCCATCTATGAACAAGTAGCACTATCGGTGTACTAGACCAGACCAGACTAGACATTCGTGGTGCCACGGTTTATAACTTTGTTAAATTTCTTCTGATTTTAATTTGTAAGTAAAATGTTATTATTTTTATTAATCATGAATTGCAAAAAGGCAAATGAAAAGCAACAGAAAACTGAAAAAATTACTAGAATCACAATGGAACTGATAAAAGAGATTGTTGAGAAATATGAAGGTGGCGGCATGTGTGTTTGAGATTTTAACTGTTTTGCATACCATATTCCAAGAACAACGATATTGACAATTGTGAAAAATAAAGACATTATTAAATCTGCTAATGTTGCGAAAGGGGTTAAATCAATTTCTAAACAGAAATTGAAGACATTAGATCATGTCGAGAAATTGCTTTTGGTTTGGATAACTGAAAAACAGTGTGCTGGAGACAGCGTATCAGAAGCACTTATTTGCGAGAAAGCTAAAAAGATACATGCTGATCTCATGAAAAATCAAGCAAGAACTAACCATGAAAGTGAGGTGTTTAAAGCCAGCCATTTTTTTTTTTACATGAGAATGGGATTAATCATTTTTACATTAGTTCTTATGGGAAAGGTTGGTTCGATATACATCCTATTCGGTATAGGTACAAACACCAGGAATGGATTAAGGTTGTATACAGAGCTTCCACTGTATATATATATATATATATATATATATAATTAAGTAGTTAAGAAACATGATGGAAAATTGTATTTCAAATGCTTGTGTGTAAATAGTAATTCTGTTTTTAGAACTTTTTAAAGGTACAGTGGAACCTCGGTATACGACCTTAATACGTTTCTGGTGTTTGGACTTATACTGAATAGGACGTACACCAAACCAACCTTTCCCATAAGAAGTAATGTAAAAATGATTAATCCGTTCTCAATTAAAAAAAAAGTGGCTGGCTTTAAACACTTTGCTTTCCTGGCTAGTTCCTGCTTGATTTTTCACGAGATCAGCGTGTATATTTTTAGCTTTCTCGCAAATAATTGCTTTTGATACGCTGTCACCAGCAAACTGTTTTTCAGTTATCCAAAGCAAAAGCAATTTCTCGACACGATTTAATGTCTTCGATCTATGTTTAGAAATTGATTTAACCCCTTTCGCAACGTTAGCAAATTTAATAATGTCTTTATTTTTCA